AAAATTCTATCTTATCATATAAACTTGATAAGGAATGGCAGCCTTTTTGGACATGTCTAATGAGCAAAGTCATTGATACCCGGCTGCAATACACTGTTGTAATTGAGGATATACTTAACGTCAGCTGTATGTGGGGTATTATTTATAAGTTTAAGTAAATCRCCATCGYAAMAGCTGTCAYACGTATTATTCCTATTCAATAACCACAGCATTTTGTGCCAGATGGTAATCGCGTGCAATTGTTTTATATTAAAGGGACATGGTCTACCAGCATTCAATGCGGTCATGTTTTTGATTTTTCATTTTTGGAAAATGAGGTGAATATCCATTTGCAATCCGTTTCCATCCATCGGTTTAAAGGTCGAATCTTACAATATCCCCATTCATATAGTATCAAGGGATAAAAAAGAGTAAGTTTTTGCTTATATTACGATGTATTTTTATTTTCAAACATGAGCAAAAGCTCGAAACGGATGCTAGTGGACCATGTCCCTTACGTCATTAATAAGGTATATTCGAAGCTAGGTCTCCAAACTGTGTAAAAATACGTCACGTTTCGATAGAGTGGAGGCCACGATGTTGATTTATATGAGGTTGAGAACTTTTGGGATGATATATAGAAAATGAAATTAAGAATTTCAATTCCATCCCGAATTAGATGCAAATTGTTATTTCAACGGTCTTTCGAATGGTCCTGTGGATTTATGAAAACAAAATTAGCGGCCTCTACAAAAACGCATCGTGGTGGTACCTAGCCTTAATGATATCTTTCTACTCTGTCATTTTTTCCTTTTTCCTTTAAACTGTTGCCATCGACACAATAGCCACCAATAAGCTGAAATGGTTTAATCTATGAATTGAAGTATTAAAAAAAGGTATACCAAAGCGATGTTTCTAGCTTTTTAAAGTTGACGGATGACATGTGGCCCATCTCTGTTCTAAAAAACAAGCCAGAGATCACTAAAAAGATAGGTTGAACACTGAAATTGTACAGGATGAGCCTTAATGCGTTTTTCCTTACTTTTATCGGGATTGTTTGTGCTTTTGTTTTGCAAATSGAAACAYCTGAAGCCGAATGTCACACGTCTCTCTGGGGAACTCAGCTTGTAAACCATGTCATGGATACTTTGGCTATTGGTGACATCGATAGCTGCTACATGACCTGTGCTGCGACGCCAGGCTGTCAGAGCATCAACTACTACACAGAAAGGTCTCTCTGTGAGTTGAATAGTAGGACAATAGAGAACACGCCCAATATGAGAGAGGCTAACGAAGACTCCGTGTACTTCACGATTCTAGGTATAAGATCGTTAATCGTGCTTTGATTAATATTTGTTTAAAATAATGTAAAATTTAGACTTTTGATTTGTGTTAATGAATTTTGTTCTTGTCTAATAACTCACGATTATTTGTTCTCCTTATATCTGTAAATAACTTGCATAATTTCATGCATAATTTAAATGGTTCCAAAAAATGAGCATTGAAACTAATGTAGTGCATTTGGAAATCATTTTGTCTTTTTATACTCAGATCCAATCCCTCTACGGCCTGGTAAGTACACACATTGTTTTTTTATGAATTATTGTCGTTGTCTTCAAATATGAAAGTTTCTTTTCCACAAACATGTTGTTTTGCAGTTTCAAATATCATAAGGATAAGTATTAGATATGAAAAGGGTTAGAAATATCTTGCCAGAGTCTCAGTATATGTATTGTCCTCTTTGCTGTGCTCTAAGTTTCAACTCCTAGGTTTTTATATTGACATATTATTTAGTGGATGGTAATTTTACCGAGTGGAGCAACTGGACACAATGTCTTCTGCCAACTTGTGGTCAACGGAAAACACGACATCGAGATCGTTCTTGCACCAACCCACCACCTGCTCATGGTGGAAAGAACTGTACTGGGCCTTACAGCGAGACACAGAATTGCACTCTGACTCAGATGGCATGCCCTAGTAAGTGGTAAATTCAATGAGACATCAAGCCTTTTGACTAGACTTCCGAGTATTTCCTCCTTTGCCGCAACTTTTCTTTGAAAGTCTCCTCACTCAGSTTGACAAGAATGATCAAAATGGGGGTTGAATTCGGAACTGTTCTCGAAAAAACTGCCGATAAAAAGGTCCCTTTCACTGTGTAATAATGCATTTTAGATGCTGTGATTATAATAAGATCTTCTCTTCTCTATAATCAGATCTTTGCTTCTTTTAGTTTTCAAGAACTGTACTGAATTCTATGAACGCGGTTTCAATCGAAGTGGTGTGTACAGTATTGATCCCGACGGAGATGGAGAATTTGAGGTATTTATATTTTGTTCGATTTTTTTAGTATTCAAGTACTCAATGCTAAATAAACAGGAATATAAAGAAATGAAAATTAAAAAATGTGGTGAATTAAATTAAATTCTTAAAAGGTTTACTGYGACCRCAWGACTGCAGGAGGAGGATGGACAGTCTTCCAGAGAAGAAAAGACGGTTCGGTTGACTTTTACCGAGGATGGAATGACTACAAAAGAGGCTTTGGAAATCTCGAAGGCGAGTTCTGGCTTGGCCTTGACAAGATTTACAGACTGACCAGGCAGACTAAAAACCGTCTTCGTGTTGATCTTGAGGATTTTGAAGGACAGAGCGCGTATGCTGAGTATGACTACTTTGCTGTAGCCAGTGAAGAAAACAAGTATAGACTCAGTCTTGGGACATACTCGGGTAACTAATTTCTATTTCTTGACTGATTTCTTTTTGTTCTTAATATCGTTCTAATTCACTGGCTTTCATAAATAATACGCAGGTACTGCAGGGGATGCATTTTCATATCATAAAGATAACAGMTTCTCCACCAAAGATCGGGATAATGATAAAGCGAGGTACCTTAATTGCGCTGAAGMTCGGAAGGGTGCCTGGTGGTACAATTACTGCTCGGTCTCCAATCTTAATGGTCTGTACACCCACGATGCGAAATATTATGGAACAGACAGTGTGAACTGGTCCAAATGGAGACTGTACTATGCAGTTAAGAGAGCTGAAATGAAGATAAGACMAGTGTAGTCCCTGGAGCCTGCCGTACAAATTGAGCACATTTAAATTGACGCATATAGAATTGTAAGTCAAGCAAAGTGTAAACAATGTTTCTTCGTGATTTCAATAAAAAAATAAGCTAATCGTCGATTGAAAATAATGTTATTTACTACTGGCAGATGCAACTCATTTTGCAGTCTACTTCAATCTCATAAAAAATGCTCCTCTTTCGCTTTTGAGAACATCTGTTCATATTTGAATAAAATAACGTCCCATCATTTGCATGAAAGGATATTTTTTGTTTATGTTTGACATTTCTAGTACTTCTAATGCCAATATGTCCCCAGTCGTCTCTTCCTCGGGCGCATTGTATCAAAGAAAGGTGAGATATCAGAATAAAATGAAACTTGATGTGGGTGAGACGAAGACTGAGAACTAGTTAGCTTTTTAGGTGCATTTAGACAGATAAAGCTGCTAAGCTGAATTGTACTTCATTTAACTTTACTTACTTAGAAAACGAATGCTATAATTTATTGTAATGCATGTACTTTTGGTGGTTTGCTTTTGTTGTTGGTAAGAGTTAGGGGAAGAGAGTATGTTGTTACATGAAACAGCGGTCTTTCTCAAGAATTGGAAAAAGACTTGAACAAATATAAATTTAAATCAGAATTTAAAGTCACTTCATAGAGTCTAGAAATTTGAATGTGATACTYATAAATACTTAGCAAAAATCTGTCACTTTATAGCAATCACTGATGAAGGTCTGACCCAAATCAAAACTTTCTAAAAATAAATTGTTTCAAAATCAGACCAAGAGCAGCTTGATATTGTATTRATACGTAATTGATCAAATGACAATATGAGTGCACTATCTTACACATTAATTGCAAACATATATTAAGAATTTTAGATAATGAAACTGTGGAAAAACAGCAAAACCAGGCTAGTGAGGAGATGGTTGGTGTTAACACATGCAAAAGAGGTTTTTTTTTTGATAATATTGAGGTTCCTTAAATAGATGATTGAACACAAGCAAAACATTCTATTTTTGACAATGTTGAAGTTCTCAGTACTATGTATATCTTGATGACTTTTAGAACCCTTAAGCGGCCATGCTGCATAGCGTTTGATATTTTTCATTGATTATCCGTAGACCTAATAGTCGCACATTTTTCGATATGTCTTTTCTTTTTTACAAGTGACTTTATGAATTTATTAATTCAAGAGAGCTCCAAGAGCACTTTTAGAAGTTTTTCCGAGTGTGGTTTTGGTCTGGTTAACTGACAAGCCTGAGTTCCTTTGTGAAAAATGCAAATTGTCACCATATTTATGGATTGTCTGAAGGAAGGAAATAGTGTTGCTGAATGAAATATTGATACAAACTATTTAATTCCACACAAAAGGATGAACATTGCTAAGGATTCTTCCAAATAGCTTGGACTAGWTGATGTTTGGGATCCTTGTGATCTGCAATTTATGTTTATTTTTTGATCAATAACATTTTGTAAACACAATTAACTGATCTACTGAAAGCAAAAAGAAGATTGACAATGTATTTTTGCCTTTTATATGGCTTTGCTCTGGTATGGAAAGTTTTATCCATAGATGAGTATAACATCGTACGCAAAGACAAAGATCAGTTCAAATTCCCCTCGCCTTCTGTGTGTATTTTGARCAACACATGTCGTGAGATGGGTGCCAGTGCGGTACCCGATGCTGATGGTTGTTCTTGTCGATGTGAAGAAAGGAGGAGCACTTTTGGATATTTCAACGGTACATGGAAGTGCGAAAACAATGTTTTAGTTCGGAAACATTCAGGTATGTAAATCATACTGAGTGAGATTAAAATTTAATATTAATATCAAATGTATAGTCATCATCATCATTTTGTGCGTGTCAGAAGTCATATAAGATCTCGAATCTACCCTCCAACCCACTCTATTTCTTGCCACAAGTTTGATTTGGTTCAATCATCCAGCCTGTTTTCTTTCGCACTCTAACGTCCTCTCCAGGTAACCTTTATCTTCCTGTCAGCCTTCGTCCATCCGGTGTTCAGCCCAAATCAATCCCATACAGTAATGATCTACCTTCCTTCTTAACACTTGTAAAAGCTAGTTCCATCGTCTGTGCCTTATTTCACAACTCATTATAGTTAGCACAGCTTAGAGTACAAACATTAAATGCGTGCAACACTTCCCACTATTTACTACAAAATAGTGTTAATTAAACAATAGAAAACAGTAGAATCAGCATAATTTAGCAGTATTTAGTGGTATTTATGTTGCACAGTTTTAGTGTTTGTACTCTATAATGTATAGAAGCTAGCACATATTTATCGACTAATGTGCATATTTTGATACCAAATGTACGGTTTGAAAGGAAAGAATAATATGTCACAATACAGCTGGTTCAGTAGACTTCTGAATAGCGCAAACAAAATAGTTGGACGTCACATAAAACAACAGATTATTTATAAGCTTCCAGAGCGCCTCGTATTCAGTTCTTTTCTGCATAATCATTTTAGACTAGAATATCGTAAGTGGTTTATTCAATATCTCCTCAAAAAATTATATTGTACGTTGAAATATCGTCATTTCATCACAAACAAAAATGACAAATAAATATGAAAACATACCGATGTCAGTGTATGGTAAAATAATGAATAATTATGATAAACAAATATTTCATTTAATTTAAGCAAATGTAGTGTCAACTTCCCGGGGGGGTGGAGGGGCGACCCCGTTTTGGATAGTTACGTGCCGGCAGTGGTCTGAAACCCTGACCCTGTTTTTAAAGACACTAGAAAGTGAAAATCCATACCCTGTTCAAGACAAATCGGAAAAATAAGGAATAGCTATCTACGCCGCAACCATCAAAACTGCAATTATACTGACATCCATCAAAGACAATAAGAAGATTTTGATAACAAGTTAATCCTGGTACAGTGAAACGGTATCTCTACTATTTCTACGGTATTTCTTACGAAAATATTACCCTGTCCAGGACACAAAAAAAAATAAATCTGTCTTTTATCACATTTGCCGTGTGTTCAAGTTATAGATCGGCATCATGCACCTTTTTCTGTATGCTGATCGTACTTGCGTCAATTCATATAACCTTTCTTTCTGACAAGTCAAGGAACATCCGGCCATACACTACGCCACTGCTAAGCTATCATACTGAAAGGACTCTATATATAATGTGCTGAAATGTTCTACATATACTACTGAAACAACACACTCATCTCAAGAGGAACCCTTGAAACATATAATCACGCAAACTTTTTATATCAAATGTAATGTCACGTAACAGCGCTCCTTCAATATTTCGGAAAAGCAAAGGAGACATCAAARTTGGCCTCACATATGTTGTAATTTATCAATGAAAGATTAGACCTATAAGTGATTATTATAAAGTTTAGAGAAAATATCCAACACATGTCTCTGATCTCGCCATGGGACAATCCAAATCAGATGTCCAGTTGAAATCTTATAATAACATTTGTATATTGACATCATCAATATCATCTTCATATCATGATTAAAGTACTCATTGTTATTCATAATTYAGARTGTACCATTACCATATTTAWAACTGACGGATCAAGAGATTCTTCSTCGCCAATCATTGCTGTACCACCGTCCGTTTCTAGCGWCKCTTTTGRTCATGAAATTGGKACRTTAAATRTTCCAAATCTCAACCAAAGWTCAGTTTGCCAACTCGAGGACACGTGGTATTTGGCCTGCAATGGGATATGGACACAAATAAGCAGTCTAAAARAGAGTTTTTCTATTTTAAAGCTCAGCGATAAACAGCATTTAACGGTAAGTATATATTAGAATTACAAAATATTGGCACCAAAAAGAAAATTAGCAATTGAGCTAGGTATAAAGTCATATCACAAGATAAAAATCAGGCATTAGGCTCCTTTGCAGCCTACCCCTTTATCGGGCTTCCTGTCCCATGATGATTCCTCTTTGTGTGTTTCCTACTTTGCAGATCAAGAGTGGTCATTCATTCAGCAGCTATCATCCTTCAATGATAGGACAGGTCATCAAAGTTCTTTTTAGCTGCACTAGCTCACCAACGCCAACAGATTGCGTGACACTAAAAGTAAAAGGCGAAACTCACTGTAAGTTACAAAAACATAAACGTGTAACTTGATCACTAGTGATAGTTATCCACAGGTAGACCTTAAAATCCCTAATATTCGGTAATTTTGAATTCAAATCTTTTCCAAATGCAGCCGCAAATGATTTCTTAAGAACATTGGTTGCAGGTATCTATGCGACCGATTCCAAAAACATAACGAACAATACTCCATTTTCGAATTCCAAGCGAATAACCGCTGTTTTATTTGACAGCAGATTCAATTAYRCAAAGAACTTACCAAACACAAAAGAAAGCACGAGAAAATGTTGTTAGTACAATAGCGCTAACAATTTACATTTTCCMCGAGTTGAGGCTAACCCTGTATTCCCAGAAGACTCATACCTTAWGTCTTATGGGAATACAGGGTYAGTCTCAACTCGGGGAAAATGCAAATTTTCAAGGCTATTGTAATAACGACATTTTCTCGTGTYCTCTTTTGTGTTTGGTYAGKTCTTTGCGCAAGAGAATCTGTTGTCAAATAAAGCAGCGGTTTTTCGCTATGAATTCGAAACTGGAAACTCACGCRAGGAATGCCGAGAATTGCAAGACTTGTTATTTTGACTTAATCTACTCTTTGCCTATTGGCCGTTCACCGTAACGCCTGATCGCCCAGCTCTTAYTAGTCAAGGATATTCTTCTTCTTGTTATTCCCTGATGATGCTGTAGTACAGCGAAAGCTTGGATTCACTATATACATTTTCAACATCATAGCAGCCTTRGCTACATTTGTATAYATTCTTTTTCTGATCACAATCATGCTGCTAAAGGATACCTTCACTCGTCTATCTATATATATATTGTTTTTCAAAAGGACTTCATTAATTAAACTAAAGCAATAATTGCAGGTCGGTATGGTATCATTATTATGTGCAAATACAGCCATATTGTATTGGAAAGTTAGTTTGACTTGTGGAGGGAGAAAAAAATTCTCCAGAAAACCCTTCCTATATCTAACGATTATAATTTCCTCAACCGTTGTTTCTTCTTTATATAGGTCCAGTTTCGGTTTCTCCGTCTATGTACCCACCACAACAGTCAACCACAACGCAATCTACAACAACTGAAACTAAAACTGCTMCATCAAACAGAAGTGAAACGCCATCTTCTGCTTTACCCACGAAAGCGATCAATTTATCCTTGCCAACCACAACTRAAATTGCATCAGACTTTTCCTCCTCCAGCCGAGTGTTTTCAACTYCCACAACAGTAGGCAGATTAACGGTGGTACTAAAAGTATGTAGATCGATTTATGCATTTGTCATATCTCACATGTTAATGTACTTTTTGGATAAATGTAGTAGCTTGTTTGACTTAGTAATGATCTGTCTCCTTTAATTTTTTATCACATCATTTTAATGATAATTTTAATTATAATTTTAAAAAATTATCTGCATTCTAGTTGGAAACCTGTGCTAACTCCACCCCAACCACATTTCATTATACAATAAACTTTTATAGGAAATTACATTGAATTTAGACAAATCCTCAAATAACGATTGTGACCATTTTAAAGAAGGGTCAATCCAAAAAAGCCCGGTTGCCTCTTCTCTTATTTAATTCTCATTAACAGGTAATAGTTTCTCTAGCACATAKTTTGGATCTTCTCCTTATTCAAAATATTGTCGACTTTCAGTCAACAAAGAGAACTGTGAAGAAAGAAGAACAAAACACCAAAGAAACTAACCAAGTGGCTTTGATCGCAGGCGCAGCTGGAGGAGCTGTTGCTTTGATACTTATTCTCGTGATTGCCTTTGTAGTAAGGTCCAAGCGAAAAAGGTATTGGCGGGTTCTTACTATGATGAGATACATATTAAGATTAATGTTTTAGGGTAAAGTTTATCGTTAGGAATAGGGCGATTTAAAGCCTGCATCTCTTATGAACTTTGCCATGAAGCAGTTGCTATAATCGGGGACAAGGTGTAGTTTCAAAGGAACAAAAATTACACATTCAAGTCTCTCTCTTCTCCCGATTCTTCATCCCTCATCCTCTTTCTTTTAAGTGTTAGCTCTTGTTTAGTGATGACCTACGTCATTGAAGACTACTAGCGTTTTACTGGGGAGGGAGAAAAACAACGGCTTTATTTCCAAATATCAGTTGTTAATTAGAATATAATCCATTTTAAATACACGTGACAACACATCATGTCCGCCGTTGAAGATGAGATCCGAGTTCCCCTGTAATTAAGTCAACGTCACGGCTGGCATGTTGGCAGTACAAAAGATGCCTAAATAGTGTCTATTGTTCATACCACCAACCCAGCCGCCAATCTTCAACCTCTTGATTCTCAAGAGAATAACTGACAGTCAGCAACACTGAAAAGTTCATGTCAATTATTTAGCAGTAATATTTTCTTAATTTTGGCTACAGGGACACCAGGCCTAGATCTCAATCCATAGGAGAGATATTCTAAAGCCTGATTTTGGTAGGTATAGCTTTGAGTTGTTGTCCGCAACTGATTTGTCATTGAATTGCATTATCCATTTATTGAATATCCTCAGAAAATTCGGTTTATGACAAAGGCGCCGATACCTCGTTCAAGTTCAMTGTTCCAGGAAAACCAAATATTGGAGATACGCATACTTACGACTACACGGACAATTTACCATTTCAAATTGAAACGGTAGCAAATACAAAAGGTATAGTGAACTCTTTTGCTCTACACTAGAAGGAACAATGAACCGAAAAATTTTTTTTTGAAAGAATAAGAATTCCCTTTTTTAACAACTCTTCCACAAAACACGTCGTCAGAGGATGTTTCAGTCCGGACAAATCCCTCCAAATCCCAATCTGTTTTTGTGGCTCAGCTTGAAGAACATCGGTAGTGCAAATCCTAATATCGCGAGCTCAGAATTTAATTTTTCCGAATTTATTTCCAAGGATCTTTTTCGTATGGGATAACCTCCTTTCTAAGAGTTGATAGTCCATTCGGCGAAGTACGGCCTCGTGGCCTATCCACTCGCAGTTCACTCGAAATCGCTGTCAAATACACAATGACTATTGTATTCATATCTCATCCAGGCATCAACACCCCTATGGTTGTAAATCGTCTTTACGACCAAACAGAAGATCTAAAGTCGGATTTTCCACCAAACCCCGAAGCTATCTATAATGTACTTGAAGAATCAGATCATGAGGATAAGCTTACATCAGTTGCTAAGCCACGTCAGTCTATTTCAAAAGATAATCATACTCCTGGAGCAGATGGTTTGAATCAACCTTTCTACAAYATTGTAGAGCCCTCCAACGATTTAAATGCGTGCAGCTCCGTTCACGCTTCCGAACCACACATGCGCGGTTCCTCAAGTCCCGATAATAGCATTGATAATGTCAACACAGGATATGAAGATGAGGTTTATGATATCGTTGGTAACGTCATAACACCAGGACAAGGGATCTATCAGGCGTTGGATTTTCACGGTCAAGAGCCAAGGGACAGAACATATCAATCGCTGGATATTTCTACSAAAGTTATRTAAATACTAGAGGAAAATGCTGTGGAGCGTTCTTGACCTCGCAGTTCCTCTCTGGAGAAGTTGATCAATTTGCAGAGTATGTAAATTTACTGTACATTATTCAATTTCCAGACAAAATGTTCTTTTACAATTTTTGTGAAT